TACACTAGCTAGCACTTCCGACCCGCTCCCCAGGTCACCGTCTCAGCCTCCGCTTTAGCGTCCGTGAAGAAGCTCAAGGGGGCTGCGCCTTCCAGTAGCGGTTCTGGCTTCTGTAGCCTTCCTCCCGATTCCAGGCGGTCGGCCAGCCACCCACATAGCACTCGCACCATGGTTGGTGTGTCAGTGTGCCCGTCTTCCCCTGAACCGCCGAGGACCAGGCATGTGCGGCCCCAGGAAGGGTCGTTCCCAGTCTAGCGCAAGGGAAGCGAATCCGAGCCTCCCTAGCTGTGGGCGAAGGGTCTATAGCCTCCGTCTTCCAAGTTCAATGCCCCGTCGACCCCGCCCCATAGCTTCCAGGTCGCCGGCATAGAGGAGGAGGTCTAGCGGGAAGTCCCGGCCAAAGGAGGTGGTACGTTAGCCGCTTTTTCGGGTCCACCATGCAGTAGCAAGCGCAAGATTGACGTACACTGTCTGGCTAGCGGGATCCTCGCTGACGTCCTCCTCAAAATTTGGTCTAGCGAAATCCTTGTGGTCCTTGAGCGAGCCGTAGTTCGGTACCCAGGCTAGCGAGGCCTCCCAAGGGAGTTCTCCAGCGGCCACTTTGCATCAGGTAGTCCCGCTTGTAGCCAGCGTGCTGCTTTGGCGGGTCGGGGCCTTCTTTTAGCCAGCCACTCTTCACAAAGAAGGCGTGCTCCGAGATAGCGACCGGGAGCTCCCGAAACCGGCGATTCGGGCCCAACGTCTTGGTGTGCCTTAGCGTCTAGCGCAAGTTCGGCTGGAATGATAGTCTCTAGGTCGGACTAGCGGAGCGAGCCCCAAACCTTGACGAGTTTAGCCCAGGCCCATACTCTCCAGCCTAAGCGTGACCCAATCCAGATCTAGCGAGACAAGTTCCAGAACACCGAACCCCTGATCAAGGAGGTAGCGGTAGGCCTTATCGAGCAACAGGCGCTGCTTTCTGGCATGCCCTTCTGGCGCTGGGAAAAGTAGCGGGAACTACCGGAGCCGGGGGGGTAGCGGGGGTTCGGGGTTGCAGGCGGTCGACCCCGGAGGACCCTGCACCCCCTCCACGCTAACGGCGCCCCCCTCCGGCTCTAGCTCGGAGCCGTTCCCGGAACTGCTCGCAGACATGGTAGCGAAGCTGCCGCACAAAGCTGGGCTTATTAGCCCGTTCCCTTTCCCTTCCCTACTTCGAAATTACCCCCCCCCCCCCAACGGGGCTCTTTAGCACAATGGCCAGCCATGTGAACCTGCAGAAGCTCTGACCTCTGAAGCTTTCAGCCAGTGACCTGTCTGTGCACAGATGCGACAGGTTCTTCGACGGCTGACTATGGCTCAAGGATCAAAAGATGAGCGAGAGCACCTTGGTGCTCTTCTGAAATTCGATAGGTGTAAGCAATGGATACTGCACCTTCCCCTCCGGGGGATAATCCCGATGATCTACAAGATTTGCCTGCTGCTTATCATCAGCAGGTGATGAGCCCAAATAGCGGGACTGCGCAGGCGATTGGACCTCGTGATGAAGAACAACTAAGGCCGAACGGTGTGAGTCGGGAGGCCAGAACCATCGCTGCAACAGAACCGGAATATGAGCGAGTCTTAGGCACCGGACCCGGCGCGACGTTACCTACCGGACCCGGCGCGACGCATACGGATGTTTTGCCTGGCACCGTCAGAAGACCTACTGGAAGCGGTGATGTGGACAGTGGTGCAGGTGGTGCTGGGCGTGATGGTACGCAGCAGGTAGCAAGAACAGGTACAGAGGTTTTCAGATCCCCGGTTTCTGGCGGGAGTGAGAGAAGGGATGCCTTCTTGTTTCCTCATGCGGAGCAACAGAATGTGGCGGTTTCTGCAGAGGGTGAAAGACGAGGAGATACATGGCCTTCCCCATTCCCGTTTCCTACTACCAGATCGATTAAGGGGGACAACATGAGTGGTGCCACCTCTGGAAATGTGATTGCACAGCAAGGTGCGGCTGCAATGAAGTGGTTATCCAAGCTGGGTGAGTTTGTTCAGCGAAGGGTTTCGCAGCAGACTAGAGCTGGGGAACAGACGACGGTACTTCAGGAGACTGTGTGGTCACCCAGACCTGCGAACAGGCGTGAGAGAAGTGAGCAGGAGCCGTTGTTTGATCCAGTTCAGAGTCGTCGACTGCAGGAAATGGCCATCGCAGCACCTCAGCTTTATGGCGCAGTGTCTGGAACAGCTGGTGGGGGATCGGACTCGTCCCGTTCATTCTCCAAGGAACAGCTGGAGTTGGAAGTTCGGCGTCAGGTGGAGCAAGCAATGGAACACCAGAAGAGCGTTGTGGAAGAAAACCAGAAGTTAAGGCTTGAGGTGGAGAGACTGAGGGCGCAGACGGCAAGGTCAAGCGAACAAGCTTCTAGCGGGACTATGTGTGGTCTCCCTGCAACAGGTCCCGGCCCCTCTGAACCTCAGCCTGTTGGAGACGCAATGCTCGAAGGTAATCTTGCAGGACTTCCTGGACATGGTCGTGAGCAGGGGGTGATGTTGGTTCAGAGCGCTACAGAACATGTTCTAGAAGGAAATCCTGGTGCACTTTGGGGTCATGATGGAAGGCAAGGCGGTGATCGGGCTTTGGGCTTGCATGGAGAACCTCAAGGAAATGCGCGAGGACCTAAAGGGCGTGAATTCGGGCGTCTACGGGATGAAAGTGGACTACCTGAAGCTCATAGTGTATTTTGGGGTAATCCTGGAGGACTTCGGAGGCAGGATGTTCGTTGGGGTGAGACGACCTCAGTCAAACACGGAGCGCTCGGAGGTAATCTTCCAGGACTTCCGGGACACGGTAGTGAGCACGGGGGTGGTTCTATGAGAGCAAAGAGACAAAGTCCGCCAAGGTCGAACTTTCTGGGCTTCACTGAGCGTTACGGGGTCTCAGAGGGTGATCTTCCGGTGGATCGTGGAGCGAGTGCGAGTATGCCTCAAGAAATTGGGTCTGGGGTGGTTTCAGATCAAGCTCTCGGAGGTAATCTTGCAGGACTACCGGGACATGGTCGTGAGCATGGGGGTCGGTTATTTAGTAACTTCCCGGGCATCTATGGTGGGCCTAACAGAATAAGCAGGGCATCTACAGCGGTCCTCCTCCAGGTCTCTCCGGCGTACATGGCTCTGTTCCAGCAGCTGGTGACGGGGCAGGACCAGGTGGGCCTGAGCAAACGCAGAGCGCAGCTATAGATCCGCTACAGCCGCTACAGGCTCTTGTACAAGGGATGTCACAACTGCAAGCTGCTATGGCCTTACAGCTCGGGCAGAACGCATCGCGACCCGAAACAATTCGTCCTGGGGTGGCAGCATCAGAGCTGCCGAAGTTGAGTGAAGCCGATGAAATGGCCGCTATCAACGTCAGTGATTGGTTGCATGGACTGAGCGGTCCGATCGGAGATCTCACAGACGGCAGTGCTCAGTGGTGGTCTCAGGTGTTGGTCTCGCTGGAGTCGGTCTACAAAGACTATGTCAATGCTACAGCGGTTCGTAAGTTACAAATGAAGGCGGACGACTACGCGCAGGCTGCTCAAAGAGGCTAAATGGCTCAGAGTGGATAAGCTGGTGGCGTCCATGTTGCTGCAGGCGATCCCCGAGAACATCCGGGTGGAGATTTTAGCGAATCGCTTGCAAAGCACCTTGGCGATACTGGCACGGATATTGACGATCTATAGGCCAGGATGGGCAGTGGAGAGACAACAAGTGTTGAAAGCACTAGAGTCACCGGGGAGTTCGGCATCGCCTATGGAGTTGGTGGAAACCTTGAGGCGGTGGGCTCGGTGGCTGAAGAGAGCCCAGGACTTGGGGCTCCAGGTGCCAGATCCTTCCATTCTCCTTCGAGGACTGGAGCAGGCAGCAAAGACACAGTTGGAAAAGCATGGGGAGGTGGCATTTCGAGCAAATATGCTTCGATACAGTTTGGAGCTTGATGCCTCTCCGACCCTTTCATCGATCGTGAAGTTCCAGTCCCACCTCTTGGCGGAGTTCGAGCAGATCGCCTACCGTGGAAGGACTAAGGGGAGTTCCGGGACAACACCTCCTCTGAAGGCTGTCGGGGCCTACGGGAATGACAGCGGTGGTTCGGCGTCACCAAAGGGGCCTACTTCTCCTTCGTCGACGGCGGGAACAAAGCCTTGCAAGTTCTTTCTCATGGATGGTGGATGTCAGCGTTCAGGATGTAAGTTCAGCCACGATTGGTCCAACGTTCCCGAAGAAGAAAGACATGAACGATGCAAAGGCTGTGGAGCAAAGGGGCACATGAAGAAGAACTGTCCTATGCGAGCAGTTGGAGGCGTTGAGGCTTCGAGACCTGATGGAGGACGTCAAGTACCACAAGCGAAGGCTAAGAACCTAAAGGGGGGAGACAATAAGCGTGATGATGGAACTTCGGCCTCTACGACCACCCCGCCTCCAGCTTCATCGGCGGCGACGTCGAGTTCTGGTGGAGGTTCAGCGTCTATGAGTACATCTTTGGACTCCAATGCTTCTGGGCTGGCTGAGAGTATTTCCTCAGGAGGAGACGTTAACGACTTCCTCAAGAACGCCACTCAGGTTTTGAAGATGATGGCAGAGCAGCAGTCCACCACTGGACCGGCGCCTTCTATGAAAATGCTGAAGAAAGTGATCAAGGACTATGAAGGGCGTATGGCTTTGGTGGATTCGGGCGCCACTCATCCTCTGAGGGTGGCGTCCAATTTGGAGTGGCAGGGTGCTGGAGAAGTGGATGTAGTGGTGGCTGGAGATGGAGTTACACGAATGCGTCAGAATCCCAACGGTACCTTGCTCATGGAACCAGAGACCAGAGGAGCACAGACTATTCTGCCTCTGGGAAGCTTGGTGAGTGTTCTCGGCTATGACTTGGTGTGGACAAAGAAGAAGTGCATTCTTCGAGACCCTGAGGGTGAGGAGTTGGCTCTGAAGGTTACCTCGGGGTGTCCCGAGTTAAGTGAGGCAACGGTGCTGGAGTTGATCGCAAAGATCGAGCAGGGCAAGATTGAGCGCCTAGCGGCGAGCACAGAGGCAACGCGCCAAGCTATGGCAAGGGCCAAGGAGGTACAAGCAGATCTGCTTTGGGAAAGAAGCATGAGGGAGTATGTGATGAAAGGGAAGTTTGAGGACGGCTTTCGTGGTATTGTGTCTATGCCATGGGTGACTGAGGACCTTCGCGGTGAGATCGCTCGGATCATTACGGACCTGCCGGAGGATGACAAGGAGGCTTGGGACTTGATGCAGTCATTGGGTTTCAATCGAAGAATGCGCAAGAGGTTGATGGGGAAGGACTGGATTGTCAAGCTATGCAGTGGTCGGAGGTCACCAATGGACAAAGTGTTCAAGGCGGTGGAGAATAACGGCACGGTCGTGTTGGACATAGATGTGCATCGGCTGCCCCAGCTTGACCTTTTCCAAACCGGATCCAGTGTGATGATGTTGCTGTTATGGGGTGGAGCTACAGGGAGGATCGCGGGCATAGTTGGTGGTCTTCCTCGAAACAATGCCCTGGAACACTCATTGAGAGCAACTATTCTACACGAGGTGGCCTCGGCGGGAAGGGGAGCGATGTGTTCGGACGCGGATGTCCCTTCGGATGGTGTTGCTTTCTCACTGTGGGCTTCGTCGGAGTCGGAAGAGGATGAATCGTCGCTTCTATGGATGTTCAAGTGGTTCCGCAGGTGGATGCTTGAAAACCATATGGACATGTGCCATTTCGAGCAAGGAGGTTTTGGGCACCCAAGATGTCGACCTACAACGATGGCTACCAACTTGGATGTGGCTGAGCTAAAGGGTGTGCGAGACTCCAGGCAACACACAGAAGAGGAGTGCGGTTCATGGTCCTCCTGGGCTCCTATGATGGTTCGGGTGCTTGTTCAAGGTCTGAAGAGGTGGAAGCTTAGACCTGGTTGGTATTCCCGGATGGTGAAGGCGCTAAAGGCAGTGGACAGAAAAGCCTGGGAGAAGCACTTGGCCAACGACCATGTCCCCTACCGTCCAGATTGTCTTCAGTGTATCCACAACGCCACGGGGAGACCTCATAGAAAATGTTTACACCGTGATTGCTATGTGCTGAGCGCAGATACTCTGGGACCAGTCCGAGTTTCGGGAGTGCGGGGTGAAAGGTATGCAATGGTTTTTACGTATCAGTTCCCAAAGCAGAAGATGGTTCCAAAGGATCATCCAGTACCTGATGGTGAACTTGATGGCCGGTCCTTGGACGCAAGAGTGGACGAGAAGCCTAAGGCAGCCGAGGACGAGGAGCTCCTTGAGGAACTGAGTGATTACGTTCCTAGCGAAGATGCCCCTAATGAACCAGACGGTGAACTTCCTGAGCTGGAGGAGGCCCTGGGTGATGGAGCGGGAACTCAAGGAGAGGCAGATGTAAGGGGACCTACAGCCAAGGCCGCCAAGAAGAAGGAGGTGTCAGATGATTGGTGGGAGTTTCGCGAGTCGGCTGGGGTGTTGATTAGACATCATGTTACTCCAAGGACTACCTTGTTCAGGCCCACGGCATGGAATGGCTGTCCTATTTCTCCTAGTGTTCTCGACTATACCAGGGTGACGGAGGTGAAGTACGTGAGCGGGGGTGTGGAGACAGAGACTTCGGACTGGCATGGTCTGCAATCAGGTTCGAGGGCACTGGAGCGTTTGTGGACTGGAAGAACTACATTTACGGTGTCGCCAGCGGAGGTGTTGGAGGATGAAGAGGAACTCCAAAAGGACGAGGAAACGTGGGAGAAGATCATCGGTGACCTTACCAAGCCGGTGGAGATGGATACGCTGTATTTGGTCTATCCCGTCAGAGCTCGTCAAGGAGGAGACATTATGTTGGCGGTTCAAGAAGCAGTGTTAAGGTTGAAGTTGCTTGGGCTTCCAGTGGCTCGACTACACTCTGATCGAGGATCAGAGTTTGCTTCAAAGGGGCTGAGGAAATGGTTGTTGGATCACGACATCTACAACACCCGCTCTGAAGTACTGGTGCCCCAAACTAATGGAGCTGCTGAGCGAGGAGTTCGTTGGTTTAAGACAATGGCCAAGGTGTTGATGTCGGAAGCAAAGGTTGCGTTGAAGTATTGGACGCTGGCTATGCAGCACGCTGCAAACAGGAGGTTGCACGAACGCCTTGGACTCACGTCCCCGAAACTCCTTCAGTTCGGTTCCAAGGTGATGATTCGTCGTAAGGTGTTCGGGAACAACAAGAAGTACGACCTGACAGACCGGTGGGAAGAAGGTACCTATCTTGGTCTATCACTATCAAGCGAGGAGCGATAGTCTTTCGTCCCAGTGGTGTGCTGACCGAAACGCTGAACCTCAAGTCCAACGTTGTGGATCCTCACGTGTTGTTGGCGGAGCCAGAGGTAGATGATGGAGGAGGAGTGGGTGATATACCAGGGGCTGAGGTTCCGGTGGTGGAATTGCCGGAACCGGACTATCGGATCTCTGGCAAGCAACCTCCTCCAAGACTTTGTGCCCTCAAAGGTTCTGGAGAAGTTGGGGATCAACGTACCAAGGTGATATCTGGTTGGACGATGAGAACCCTCATTCAGCAACAAGAAGAGAAGGCTATGAACTACTACCACGCGGGCATGTTCAATTTGGATGATTGCGCCGAAGTACTACGTGATGTTCATCTTGGGACAAAGGCGAAAAGGAAGACTCGGGGTGTGAATACATCGGCATTAATCCTGGGTGCCTACGTTCATGGAGGTGTTCGAGGAGTAACCACGGCAACTCTCAAAAGGCCATGGTTGACCAAGTATTTGAACATGGTGTTGCGACTGAGGACTTTGGGTACTACAAAACAAGGCAACCGTCATGGACTACGTTGGGTGTTTTCCGGGCGAATGAGATCCCTCCTCATCGTGATCTTCGCAACAAGCCGGGCATGGCAAACTTCGTATGGAAGTGGGAACCAATGAACCTAGAGGGCTATGGCTTTCAGATGCGCATGAGCTTTGTGACGGTGATGGAACAAGTGGAAGGGACCTTCGTAGAGAACTTCCAGATGGAACTGTTGCTGAGGGGCGAGTTGTTGACATCAAGGCCAAGGTGGCAGTGTTTGACCCGAAGAAGGTGCACTCCTATGTCAAAGGGGAGGACGAGGAGAACTGGATAATCGCTGGGTTCACACCACTGGGAGTGGAGACAATGCCACCTCACCCAACCGCTATCTTGAGCAGACATGGTTTCCCATTGGATGGTACCGAAGCTCTACAGAAGGGGGAACATCAGACGAAGAGAACGTGGAGGAAAAGGCCCGGGTTCTCAGGCGTGCCATTGAGGAGGAGTCTGAGTGTGATCCATTGTCGTCGAGGTGTTCACGATACATTCGCATGCTCCAAAAGGCGTTTGAGGTGTGTGCGATGAAACTTGGTCAGATACATGAACGACAAGTTCGACGGATCATGAAGGTATCGCCGGTCGAGGCAAAGGACATCGAGGTCGAGGAGCTGCTGAGGACGTTGTCTGGGCCCCTAGAGGTTGTCCACAATGTGAGCTTGCCGGAGGTCAGAAATTATGTGGACCTGTGGAAGGATACTATAGTGAAAGAAGTATCAGCCTGAGCAAACCCGGGAGCTCAAGAAGGCAGGAATGGTGGTGTTTCCGGGGAAGGCTGTATTTACAGTCAAACCACCCTCGGACCCCTCTGGCCCCACCAGATACCGCAGAAAATGCAGGGTGGTGGTATGTGGGAATTTCCTACCATCACAGGGCCAGAACGTTTATGCATCGGGCACCTCTGCCGACTCCTTAAGGATAGCTGTTGCGCTGGCTGTGAAGATGAGGTGGTGTATTGCCAGTACAGACGTGTCCAACGCTTTTACCCTGGCACCCATGCCGAAGGACCTGATGTATGCTCTGACGCCTCCTACTATTGTGGTGCTAGCCGGTGCCGCTTCACCAGGCGAGACCTGGCAGATCACCAGGGTCCTGTACGGACTAAGGGAGGCACCCCGACTTTGGGGTGGCTTCAGGGATGATCGTTTGGCTAGCGCGCGCATTCCGTATGAAGACAAGATTATCGTGTTGACAGCAACAACGACAGATGAGAATTTGTGGAAGGTCACGTTCGAGGGCAACCCAGAAGTTCAGGGACTGGTATTAGCCTATGTGGACGACTTCTTGATGTTGTCAGCCCGTGGAATCGTGAAGACAATCTACGAGTGGTTGATCACTGACTGGAAGTGCACCAGCCTGGAATGGGTTGAAGATGGCTCTTTGAGGTTTTTGGGGATGGAACTACGTGTACGGGGCGAAGGCATTCATCTATCTCAAGCAGGTTACGTTCGTGATCTACTACGTCAACATGGAATCAGTGAGGACCTTGGAGGTGGGTTGACAGTTCCGTGTAATCGAGAATGGCTACAAGACGTGGACTCAGATGAAGAAGTCGAAGCACCGGAAGAGGCTACGATCAAGCTGGCTCAGAAGGCACAGGAGAAACCTTATGGCTCTCGACTAGGAGCCGACCGGAGCTAGCTCATGCGGTTGGATGCATGGCAGCATGCGCTCTCAAGAGGCCGGTCAGGGCCTTAAGAAATCAGCAAGCGCGTGCTGCGATACCTTTCGCGGACGGTTGCGTACGGCATCTGGTACCGCGAGGAGAAGGACGACCCCATGATGGTCGTTTATTCTGACGCCTCGTATGCCCCTGGCGGTGGGCGTTCTTTTGGGTCTACAATGGCACAGGTGGCTGGAATGCCGGTTGCATGGCGTGCCTCGAAACAACCCGTGATTACCCTATCGGTTGCCGAGGCGGAGTTGTACGAGGGTTGCGCTGCGGTCCAACTAGGACTGGGGATCCAAGCTCTTTTGACGGAGCTTGGGTTTAACCCTGTGATGCATCTTCGGATCGATAATGCAGCTGCCCAAGGACTAGCCAGCGAAGCACCTGGCTCGTGGAAGACCCGACACCTTCGTATTCGGGCAAGGTTTCTACGGCAAGAAGTAGCGGCACAAAGATTGGTGATATCTCATGTGTGCGGCAACCTTCAGAAGGCTGATTTAGGGACCAAAGCGTTCGACCTCCCGAAGTTCAAGGCCTTGATGGATCTATGGCAGATAGTTTCCTTTGCTACCGAGGATGCTGCAGGAGCTGCCTTACGGACTATGAGGGCGACAAACCACAGGGGGTTGCTCTTGTTCATTGTGGTGTGCCTGTGTATGATCAAGGGAGCTCAAGGTGTTAAAGAGGATCTTCCGTTGGAGACATCAATGGAGTTCTACTTCGTGGCCGGGATTTCAGTGGTTGCGGCAGTGGGCTTATGGGAGTTTGTGAAGAAGTTGATTAAGTCTCTATCTTCGTGGTGGAGTGCTCGGTCGAGGAGGCTGGAGCGTGCTGAACGGCTGAGGACGAGGACTCGTGACGCAGTTCAGGAGGAGTTACGCAGACGTGAGGTGGAGCTTACGGAGAACTCAGGGCTCTTAGTGAATAGGGTTTCGAGGCGAGCTTCATCTACTACTACTACTACTACGAGAGCATCGTCGTCTTGGACCTCGACGAAGGATGTTGGGATTCAGACAGTGTCAGAGCCCGTGATTCCACTGGAGAGACTGCGAACGTATACGGGACCCTTCTTCACTACACCTCACGGAGACCGGATCCATACGGCACAATATTGCCATGGCCAGAGGAACGCAACGCGCCCTCCTAAAAGGTACGATCTATGTGCGTATTGCCAGAACACGCACAGCCTCTACGTGATCAACCCGGACATGGGCTAAAGCTTAGGAGGAGTGCAGAAGCTCTGACCTCTGAAGCGTTAAGCCAGTGACCTGTCTGTGCACAGATGCGACAGGTTCTTCGACGGCTGACCATGGCTCAAGGATCAAAAGATGAGCGAGAGCACCTTGGTGCTCTTCTGAAATTCGATAGGTGTAAGCAATGGATACTGCACCTTCCCTTCCAGGGGATAATCCCGATGATCTACAAGATTTGCCTGCTGCTTATCATCAGCAGAACCCCAGTTAGAGGAAACACCTGCAATGTTTCCTAGCAAACATCTTCGATGTTGTTCTAGCCGAGATACCTTCGATATCTCCTAGAGGAAGTGTGGCGCTAGCATACACTGCTCTACCTCGTGCCTCGGCACGAATGCTAGTTGCGCCCCCGGGAGGTTCGTCGGTGAGAGGGGATCGCCGACCAACTCGCCCTTTTTTTGCGCCAAATCAGCTGCCTCATTGCGCTGAGATCTATAGCCAGCCTCTTGTCTGCCATGGTACTCAGGCCTGGTTGACGTAGATGCTGCTCCAGACTCTTATTATACAGTCTGTCATCATCACCAGCAGCATGTGGTCCATGACATTGATGAGGTCCTTGTCGCGGCTGTTGTTGTGTTCATGCCCCACATGAGAGCGCGC